AAATGCATATATCCAATTTTTTAAATAAAAAAAAAAATAATAATTAAATGCCAATGGTACATCAATAAAGTATTTTGAAATATATAAAAATAAATGACCAAATTAAGTATTTACATATACAGTAGAGCAGTGTTTCTCAACCTCTAACGAATTGTCACCCCCTTTAACGTAGTATTGCCCCCTTCCATAAAACCGTTACGTAGTATCGCCTCCTTCACTACAAAATTCTGATGCCAAGGGCCAAGGCTAACGCCAAATTCGTACTACATTGAATAGACTAGTGACTAGTATAATGTTATTTGTTTAACTATTGTGGGATATAACGAATAAAATATCTAATTATTCTTAATATAATGTTTTACTATATTGCCCAGAAAATTGTTTTTCATCCCCCAAAATATAAATTGTTACTAATCGTCCCCTCAACATGGAAAAACGCCCACATGGGAGCAATATCGACCCCGTTGAGAAACACTGCAGTAGAGAATCGATTATCCGACCCCCGATCAACCATCACATTGGTTAACCAACTGTTCTAGTCGGCAAATTTCAAATGTCCGCTAGTGATGTGGCGCTACAATATTTGGCTATGTCTTGGCTACTTTAATATTATTTTTTTTTAATTTTTGCGTGTTTTAGCTGGCAACACTAGCTTGACCATGAAAGGGAGGCCAGTATTTAAATGAGGCTTAATTTTCTAATTATGAGTGGTTGTTTGCTTTGTGAGCAATAAAATAATTTTTAACGATACAATAGCGACGATTATTATTTTAAAAAAATTTGTTAGGTTTAACATCGATGAAAATTCAACGTGAAGTAGGTTAATAGCGATATACTAATATACTAATTACATGGGATATACTAATATACTATACTAATAATGTATTTTTTCATACTTTTTGGTTATCCGTTTTTTCAGTTATCCAACCAACGCAAAGCGACACGCAACGGAGAGAAATTTCAACATGGGATAAATTAATATATTTTTTCGTACATGATTCGTTATCCGAAAAATAACTTATCCGAACCAATTGAGTCGGATAATCGATGCTCTACTGTATTTTAATATATTGTATATAAAAAAATTTCAGTTTATCATAATTATGAGTAGGAATGAATAAATCATGTTAAATAAATTACATAATGTACATTTGAAATTCAAATTTTAGAAACTTTACTACAAGCCATTTTCATATCATTGAACAATAACTGAACTGTTATCATTATTAATGCTTTTCTTTTTTGTGAATGACAAAAATCCAAATTCATAGTTCAATAAATATAGAAAATATAGAAAAGATTATAGTATTCAAGAAATACAATGTAAATAAAAATTAGTTTCAAATTCAAAAAATTTTTAAATTAAATTTTCTCATTTTTTTAAATTTAATATAACAGTTTTCTCTTATAGGATTAGTCTTTGCTCAAACAAGCATTTCAAATCAATTAAATTTTATAAAATATAATAAATTAATATATATGAATTAGAAGTTACCTGTTAAGCCTTGAGTAATGCCACCACAATATACTGTACAATTTGTTGGACTTGACTGATTATACACTTCATCAAATGTTAGTGGTTTAGCATTTGCTGCAAATTAGTAAAAAACAATATTGAAAATGAATAAATCTAAAAATTTTACTTCTATAAAATTATATTTTTAAAGTATTTCATTTTTAGAATGATAATCTTATTTGATACATTTAAAATTTAAAAAGAAAAATCTTCCAACTATAGAAAATAATCCTATTTTATTTTGAAAATATTTGCTTAATTTTTTGCTCAATTATTTGCTATATGTATTTATTATTATTATAGTTTATTACAGTTCATTTTTCCTTAAAAATTTTCATTAACATATTCATAATATGAATTAATTTTATAGAGTGAAAAATTTTTTGAAACTTATTTCTTGAATTAATATTGTAAACATGATAACTAAATACAATATATATTTCTATTCTGTTTCTCATTATTTATATATAGTTTTACTTTAATTATTTTGTTCATTAATTTTATACCATTTTAAATAATATGCAATAAAATTACTTTATTTTTAATTCTATCATATTAAATTTAAATGGAAAATATTAAACTATATGTTGTTTATATATAAACATTTAAAGAGGGATGCTGAAGTTAGTTATGAAAATGTTGGGAATTGAAAAACTATTTCTGTTGATTGCAGCTTGAAACAATCCAGCAACAGCAAATACACCACTTTGATACATTTTAGCATCTTTACATAAAATATTTTCAATCTGCAATCATATTTGACCTCATAAAAACAGGAATAGCATAAAATAAAACAATTTAAGAAATACATTTTTATTTTATGCTATTCCTTATTCTTATATTTATGGCTGGTCTCAAATTTTTCAATTTATAAGTAATGATCTTCCAAAGTTCTACATATAATCTATACATATAACCCATTCAACGGGTATCCGTCCGTCCATCCATCCGTCCCGTAACCGTTTGATAACGGACACTAGAGGCGCCCCTATCGTGTGTCATATTTCAAACATTCAAATTAACAATTTTAATTGTTATTTAAATTAACAATATGAATTATTATTATTCATTTGGCCAATAAATTATTATTTGGTCAATATAACAATATAAATAATTCAGTATATTTGTAATAGGAATTTATTATTTCAGGGGCTTATATCTCGCGAAGGGTTGCGAGTAGGGGTATGGCTCCTTTGCCTTTATTGTTTGCACAGGGGGCTACAGTTTGGGGATCGCCACCTCTTCATCTAACCTTACCGTTGGGATTTTAACAGAGCTGTGGAGCATATTGATAGGAACAAAAAAGTCAAAGGAACCGTGCTTCATGGAAATTTGTAAACAACACCCACTAGAAGACGTCCTGGGCTACTAGTGTTAATTATAAACAAAATAACCACAACTAGTAAAAATTAGACTATTAAATAATGATAGCATTAGCAATCAATACATAATTAGAAGAATCTACAATGCTTTTCAGGGAAATAATATATCAAGGAATAACTATATGCAGATATATGCTTTAACTAATTCATTAATGAATAAAAAATGCATTGAATAAAGAGACCAATAGTTAAGTACAGTCGACACCTCTATAACACTGTAGATAATTCCACGTTATATGAATTCCATGTTGTATGAGTCACTTAGATTTTACAAATATGTGAGCTGTTCACAGCCCGGCACACGTATTTGTAAAATCTAAGTGACTCGTACAACATAGAATTCATATAAAACGGAATAATCAACAGTGTTATAGGGGGTAGACTGTATTGCACAATTATATCATTTTATTACGAAAAACTAATTCATATCTTTCAGCATTCATTTTCTAATGGTGTTTATTAAAAGAAACATTATACAAACAAAATGATATTCAATGATTTATTTTTTTTATACTTATTATTTCCCATCCATGAAAACACACATCCTTGTATAACAAACCTGCATAAAACAAGATTCTAATGTATTTTAAATAAAATGAAAGTGACATCATATTTGGTTTTATCTTACTGGCACAATGGTAAATTATAATGTTTTTGAAATTTCTGTTATATTTGCAAAAATTTTAAGAGTATAAAAAAAAAAATAAAACATATCATATGATATGTTTTGACACAATGTTTGAATATGCAAAGATTTTATGATGTTCTATTTTATTCAATCTCATTCTATACAGAGTAATGAAGATTCAAGATCTACCCCTAAACTCCATTCTTATTTTGGAAATTGATTAGTTTCTTCTGTTGAATATTATACTGTCATAAAATATAACCTTGAAAATTGTTTCATTAAAACAAATATAAAATCATTTTATGTACTTATAATAATATACTTACATTTTTCATATTATTTGTGTATAAAAAATTATTCATATTAATTAAAAATCAAACTATTTATATAAATAGTTTATATATATTAAAAAAACTTACTTTCATTTTGGGATCGACTAGCTGGAGGTTTTCTTGTAGCCCAATTGGTTCTTATAGCACGACTTCCTAGCCACTGACCATTCATCGTGGCTATTGCATTTTCAGCGTCCTGCAAGAAGTTTTATTAGACTTTATATATTTTACACATATGCCAAAATATAAAATAAAATAAAGATCACAGACCTATCAAAGGATGGCAAGTACACAGGAAAAACAGGTTCAAGTTAAAAGTACTGACAATTTTGACTTAACAATANTAGTTGAACTCGTTTCTAACTACTGCTTGACTCCTCCCACCACTAGCTTCTTTTATGTATTCTTAGGTCCGCCCACTAAGCCACTCAGAATTCTAACTTAGGTGTTCTGTGTTACTGAACACGGCCGATGTCTTCAGCTGGAGGAAGCACCAAGAATTTTATACCATTTTAAATAATATGCAATAAAATTACTTTATTTTTAATTCTATCATATTAAATTTAAATGGAAAATATTAAACTATATGTTGTTTATATATAAACATTTAAAGAGGGATGCTGAAGTTAGTTATGAAAATGTTGGGAATTGAAAAACTATTTCTGTTGATTGCAGCTTGAAACAATCCAGCAACAGCAAATACACCACTTTGATACATTTTAGCATCTTTACATAAAATATTTTCAATCTGCAATCATATTTGACCTCATAAAAACAGGAATAGCATAAAATAAAACAATTTAAGAAATACATTTTTATTTTATGCTATTCCTTATTCTTATATTTATGGCTGGTCTCAAATTTTTCAATTTATAAGTAATGATCTTCCAAAGTTCTACATATAATCTATACATATAACCCATTCAACGGGTATCCGTCCGTCCATCCATCCGTCCCGTAACCGTTTGATAACGGACACTAGAGGCGCCCCTATCGTGTGTCATATTTCAAACATTCAAATTAACAATTTTAATTGTTATTTAAATTAACAATATGAATTATTATTATTCATTTGGCCAATAAATTATTATTTGGTCAATATAACAATATAAATAATTCAGTATATTTGTAATAGGAATTTATTATTTCAGGGGCTTATATCTCGCGAAGGGTTGCGAGTAGGGGTATGGCTCCTTTGCCTTTATTGTTTGCACAGGGGGCTACAGTTTGGGGATCGCCACCTCTTCATCTAACCTTACCGTTGGGATTTTAACAGAGCTGTGGAGCATATTGATAGGAACAAAAAAGTCAAAGGAACCGTGCTTCATGGAAATTTGTAAACAACACCCACTAGAAGACGTCCTGGGCTACTAGTGTTAATTATAAACAAAATAACCACAACTAGTAAAAATTAGACTATTAAATAATGATAGCATTAGCAATCAATACATAATTAGAAGAATCTACAATGCTTTTCAGGGAAATAATATATCAAGGAATAACTATATGCAGATATATGCTTTAACTAATTCATTAATGAATAAAAAATGCATTGAATAAAGAGACCAATAGTTAAGTACAGTCGACACCTCTATAACACTGTAGATAATTCCACGTTATATGAATTCCATGTTGTATGAGTCACTTAGATTTTACAAATATGTGAGCTGTTCACAGCCCGGCACACGTATTTGTAAAATCTAAGTGACTCGTACAACATAGAATTCATATAAAACGGAATAATCAACAGTGTTATAGGGGGTAGACTGTATTGCACAATTATATCATTTTATTACGAAAAACTAATTCATATCTTTCAGCATTCATTTTCTAATGGTGTTTATTAAAAGAAACATTATACAAACAAAATGATATTCAATGATTTATTTTTTTTATACTTATTATTTCCCATCCATGAAAACACACATCCTTGTATAACAAACCTGCATAAAACAAGATTCTAATGTATTTTAAATAAAATGAAAGTGACATCATATTTGGTTTTATCTTACTGGCACAATGGTAAATTATAATGTTTTTGAAATTTCTGTTATATTTGCAAAAATTTTAAGAGTATAAAAAAAAAAATAAAACATATCATATGATATGTTTTGACACAATGTTTGAATATGCAAAGATTTTATGATGTTCTATTTTATTCAATCTCATTCTATACAGAGTAATGAAGATTCAAGATCTACCCCTAAACTCCATTCTTATTTTGGAAATTGATTAGTTTCTTCTGTTGAATATTATACTGTCATAAAATATAACCTTGAAAATTGTTTCATTAAAACAAATATAAAATCATTTTATGTACTTATAATAATATACTTACATTTTTCATATTATTTGTGTATAAAAAATTATTCATATTAATTAAAAATCAAACTATTTATATAAATAGTTTATATATATTAAAAAAACTTACTTTCATTTTGGGATCGACTAGCTGGAGGTTTTCTTGTAGCCCAATTGGTTCTTATAGCACGACTTCCTAGCCACTGACCATTCATCGTGGCTATTGCATTTTCAGCGTCCTGCAAGAAGTTTTATTAGACTTTATATATTTTACACATATGCCAAAATATAAAATAAAATAAATGATAGTATATTTATATGTATCTAATGAATTTTTCTTTTTATCAATGTTCATCATGCAACTAATTATGCTGACATTTATGCTGCTGCATTAATGTCAACAGCAAAACTTTTGATTTTCATATTTGACAATAAAAGAAGAAAATATATTATAATAAATATAATTATATTTATTATATGTAATTATAATTAAAATTAATTAAATGCAAAATTTAATGTTTTACTTATTTATATTTTTAATTTTAATACAATACAAAACTAAATATCATATTTGGAACTAAAATACAGCATTAAGATATAGTTCTACCAAATGACATTTACCATAATATTAAAATTTGTTTCATTTCAAGATGTTTTCCATACTTAAACATGAATTACAGATCAAAACTTAATTATAATTTATTAAAAATTAAAACAGAAATGAACCCAATTTTCAGAATTTAAAAGTAAAATTAACACAAAGAACTACAATATTTAACTTAGTTATTAACTTAGATTATTATCTTAATAAATTTAAATACAGTGGTTGCTGCTTATTATCACTGGCTGATGTTATCAGCCACTTAATGTAATCAAAACCTGTTTTCCCAAACCAGTTCTAGTTCTATATTTTGTATGTAAAATCTTGCCAGTTATTTCGATCAGCTCTTATTGTTATCAGATTAAACTAGGACATTTATGATACGTATAACCAACAAATTTTGAAAAGTTATCTTAAATTAATCCTAAATATTAGTTATTACTTTTCTAGAAGTATTATTTAATAATTATCTTTGTATTTTTTAAACATGGAATTGATTATAGTTTTATTAAAAAGTGTTCTATGCCAGTTGGTATATCACCAGTTGAGAACTGTTGTTCTACAACTTATTCCTGAATAACATATTTTTAGAACATTGAAAACTTTAAACATTGGAATTGCTGAGGTTACCAAAAGGGGGATGGAAAGGGAGAAATTTCAAAATCAAGTCAAGACAACAAGGTATGAGGGATGGAATTTGGAAGTGATAGACAACACTGAGGCAAAGCACCTTTACAGATGTAATTTGTTTATTTGGCAAAACTGAAATCTTACAATTTCATACAAAGGATGTTATACTTGGACTATGATGTAAGGATTTGATTCTTTTTCGATAAAGTCCCTTGATGAGTCAGTGTCATTATCAAGCAAAAAGATGGGATGGTCAATGGCTGGTCCAAGGATCATCCTTTCAGCAAAAACAGATATGACAGCATTTCAATGATATAGATAATGATAGCAGGACACAAACACAGAAAAAAGGAAAACATTTTAGGCTGTGAAGTTCAGAGAGGCAAATCTAACTTTGTCTTTGAAAGTCAGGGTTTTTAAAGGATATTATCCCCAAATTTTGTCTCTGACTGGTCTCTACTCCTTCCCATTGTCTCTCTATTGGTTCTTTTATTCTCTCCAAGTGAAAGTAGACCAGATCAGGTCACAGGAATGGTCAATCTTCAGTATTCGCCTGACACTGAACTTCTCCAATCAAGAGATGTTAACTGATCTTTTGCTTGTGTTTTAAGCAACAATGTTCTCTCTCCTGCCATTCAAGGATTTTAACAATTATAACACATTTTTCCCATGTAAAAAATGTCCTGTTTCCCTACTTCTCCAAATTTTATCTGTGTATCAGAATCAAGGTTGAAATCTTATGGTGTGACACTGATAGATATTCTAACCTGCATTACATCTTACTCAGGACTTATGTTATTTACATTTGAATTGCTTCTATTTTATATATTTTCTTCTCTAAAATAAGATATGTTTTTAGCATTTCTAGAGAAGTGCTCAGACCCTGGTCTGGGTCCTCATTAGCAATGTAATACTGTATATATTTTTATTTATTTATTTAATAAACACCTTAAATTGATTTCATTTAATTTTATGATTACAACTTAATGTGCTATTCAATTGATACTGTAGAACAGAAAGAAACTTTGTGTTGCTGCAATCGATATTAATTATATAAAAACTAGTTGTGAACTATTGTTAGACAAAAATGAATCACTATATGAAGTAAATTTATAGTTAATATTTGTACCAGTTGGTACAGATTTGACTGTATTAAACAGCATAAATAGTATAAGCCAGTTTTTTCAACTGTCAGTCTACAAAAAAATTTCACCAGTAGACAGAAAAATATTTGACCCTACTGACTGATGGTACAGTTGATTACAGGCGACATTTAATTAAACAGTAATCAAGAGTTACTGCTTATACTTTGTTACTTACAGTAACTCTAGATAAGCATTTATAAGCATAATTTATAGTTGTATACAATTAGTGATCTGCATAAATTATCCATAATTTTACTGGTCTATGATAAGAAAAAGGTTTAAAAACACTGGTATATGCAAGTATTTGTGCTTTCTTTCATATGATTTAATATTTTAAAAAATCCTATTAAATTATTTTCAATTCAATAAAAATATGTGTAATGAAATTGTCAATAACATTGAACAGAAATGTACTTGGCAAAATAATTATTCAAGTAACAAACACGTTATTTTTTGCCAAGGGAGTTTTATTAAAAAAACTAACGTTTTCGATCAACTCCATAGATCATCCTCAGGTTTAAACATATTCCAAATTTCGAATGTTTTCCCATGTAAAAAATGTCCTGTTTCCCTACTTCTCCAAATTTTATCTGTGTATCAGAATCAAGGTTGAAATCTTATGGTGTGACACTGATAGATATTCTAACCTGCATTACATCTTACTCAGGACTTATGTTATTTACATTTGAATTGCTTCTATTTTATATATTTTCTTCTCTAAAATAAGATATGTTTTTAGCATTTCTAGAGAAGTGCTCAGACCCTGGTCTGGGTCCTCATTAGCAATGTAATACTGTATATATTTTTATTTATTTATTTAATAAACACCNATAAAGAGTAAACAATCAAAAGATATGTTTGATAAATTTTATTAAACATAAATATAACAATATGTTTAGCAGAGAAAGCTAATTGAAAAAATTTATGAACATTAATCCTCCATTACAAATTCCTTAAGGGGGCCTCCAAGCTTTTCTTGGCCCAGGGCCTCGCATGTACCAAAGACGGGCCTGGTTTAAGTAAAGTAAAAACAATTCTATGAATGAAGAAATATCAATAGAAGATGGAATTTCTTTTATGATAAAGAATAAAAGAATAAAGGTGTTTGTTACTTGAATTGTCAATAACAAATACTATAGCAATTAATCAAACATTTTCTGAGATTGATCCATTAATTGCAATTGACTGTTTGACTACCCTACTATATAGTAAACACATACTCCTGTAAACTGGTTGCCCTGTAAAATGACGCTTACAAAATATTGTTATCAGCTGCTTATTATTAAAAGTCTTGAACCAATGTGAGCACAATAAATGGCAATCACTGTATATAAAAATAATTTCTGCTTAAATTATAGCAACAGAAAGTAGGCAATATTTATGAGTGATAATATTTTTTAAGAATACTATGTTATCATCTGATGTGAATTGAAAAGCTAAAAATATAAAGAACAACATGAAAATCTGAGATGCACTTGAACATTGTTAAAATAATATAAAAATTACAATAGAATTGTATCATAATAGTTTTTAAATGCTTTCCATTTGTTAAACACCTATTTAAATATATATAAAATTTTCATTTTAAGGGTTCATCAGTTGAGAACTGCTGTTCTATGACTTACCCCTGCGTCAGATATTTTTAAAATATTGAAAACTTTAAAAATATAAATAATGTTGGAATTACTATTGTAATAGTGTATTTATTTTATTTATTAAATAACACTTTAAATTGTTTTCATATTTTGAGAGTTTGAAAACTATTATTTAATGTACAAACATGCTGCAAGTTATAACAGATAAACATTTTTTTTGAGTGAGGTTCTTTTCATGTGCAATAATTTACATTAGAAAACTATAAAACCATTTATTACTACCAAACCAATCAAAATTCCTTTCCTTCTACTTTACATACTTAATGTTTAAAACAAAATTAAATTAAATTACTCAACATTAAACAGATTTATTTTCATAACATTAACATCATCAAAATTATCAATAAATGGTGACAAACATAAATCTTTAATGCTAAATTATGTTTATCATTAATTGATTTAATAGCCAATTAGTAACATAATATATTTTGGAAATGATTAATGTTAGTATCAATAGTAATTAAGTTAGTATTGAATAAAATTGAGAGATTTCTTTTTCATTAATATCATTTTGTATTATAAATGTGTTTTATGTGTATGAGTTTAAGGATAATATTTCTGAAATCAGTTTAATGTTATTTAAAAAAAAATGTATTAAAATGACATTAGCTATATAATTCTAAAATAATTATTTTCCATTTATTTAATATCTCAATTTAAAAGATATGGTTTTATTCACATGAAATTTATTTATACATTCTAATGCATTGTTTCAATATCCTTCTACTTCAGTTCACCCTATTGGAATAATAGAGCCAATTTAAGAAAGGAACATATTTTTATATTATTTTTCTAAGTTAAAGTCAATGGCAAATTTATCACAAAGCAAAACAAGCAACTACTTGGGAACCCCACTTTATTTTTTTTAAATTTTCTTGTTGAGTTATAAATCAAATTTTTGTTAGAAAGCATTGTGAAACTATTTTTAACATTACCAATAACAAATTGTTAAGGTGAGAAGCCCATCAGCACACTGAGGCATGAAAAAATGATTTGCATACAACATAAAGCAAGAGAAACTGTCAGATTTAAGCCTTATGCTTATACAGAATGATAAATTATAGAAATTGTCTTTTAATGATGTGATTAAGGAGTTTGCAGCTGAAAAGAGTTAGAAGAAATTGTAATATACTTGATAAACTATATATATTAATGATAAATGAGCTTTAATTCTTCCTTTCTTCTGACTTCTTGCAACTAAAAACGGG